TGTATTTTTACTTTTCTCGCAATAGTCATTGTAGATCTAATACGTTTGTGGATAGTCCTCACCATCAAATGGAGCAATTCCAACTTTAGACCAAGGACTGGAAAAAGCCCACAGGAATAGTCATAGGTGTAGAGAGCAGCCCTGTCTCTCACATACTGCAGCCTCCTCTGAAAAATTTGTCCAGTTCTGAAGAGGGGGCGGAGGACTTGGCAGTGTCAAGGTTACCTAATGAAGCTTCTCAGGTATAGCATGAGGACCAGCCTGCCTGGGAAAAAAGGTGGGAGAGCAGTTCAGAACTGGAAGGGGTGGGGGCACGGGTGGCTCCTTGACCCATCAGGAGATGGCAGGTGAAGCCAGGAGGTCATTCACGAAGCATCCAGCATTCCTGCCGTCAAGCCTGCGGTGGAAGTAGAGCCAGAAGGTTTCCTGAAAGGGAAGAAGGGGGAATTTCAGTCTGGATTCAGCTCTTCACATGGGCAGATGCTTCTCCCACATGTCAAAGAGATTGCTACTCTGATTTAGACTGTTCAATAAAAGAACTGCTTTTCTAATGTTTCCTTTGGAGCCTGCCAAAAGAGAGAGGGAGAGGGAAGTGACCGGCTCATGACAATAGGTTGTTTTATCTGAACATCCCAATATTTCTGACAGACTGCACTCTTGTATAAATATTTCCATATCTCTGTTATAATTTGGCTAATAAACAACAGCTGAAGGCCTGTGTTTTTAATACCTGGGTGCCTTGCATTAATTCTCATTCTCTCTCTCTCTCTCTCTCTCTCTCTCTCTCATATACATACACTCCCTCCCTCCCTCCCTCCCTCCTTCCCTCTGCATTTATAACCAAGAGTGAAGAATAATTTTTCTAAAGAAACTTCAAAAATATTCCTTCGATAACCAATAAATCTGTTCCATATCTATTGTATTATCAGTGCTTTCTTTGTAAATGTAAAAGAGAAAAACCCTGTTCATAGGAAATGCTACTTCAAAGCAAGCTTGTTGTGTGTTTAATATAGCTGTGAAAACCAGAAGTGAGATTTGAAGTGCTAATTGGCGTTTTGCTTGGATCACAACTTTTTTTTTCACTAAATACACAGACATCTCCAGTGTTAAAACAGGGCATGAAAGACATAGTTTGAAGATCCAAAATACAGTCACTTGCCAAAACGAAGCATAGTTGAATCTAGTCAATGCCAGGATGAGAGGCTTCCAGAAAAACCTATGCATGTCCCTTTACATTCCATGGTGGAAGAGAGGAGTGGGTATAAATAAGTCAGCCTTCCTCTCAGCTGGATCCTGAACAGATTCAGGGGTATTTTCTGAATCAGATGTCCATAATTAGGACTGGACTTGAGATTTGAGGCTGAGACCTGAACAGACTGTTAATAAAATGTGTGAATGCAAAGATGTCCATTGGAAGAACATCGGTCACAGGTAAGCAACCTTACTTTATCAGGAAGAGTTTTATTAATGGATCTTACTTATTTCTCATTAATTTTCAGCATAAGGATATATATTGCCATGTCGCACACATGCGCACCCAAGACTGGCAGTGCATACCGCAAAACCCACCCTATCAGGGTTAGCTGACACCCACACTTGCTGCATTTGTGCATGCTCTGTGTTACTGTGGCATTTCAGTTAAGCCACTTAAATGCAGAAGTGTATTTGAAAGACTTTTATATGTTGACTGTTCCTTATATTCCCCAGCGTTTCCTTCTTTTCACCATGATTAGATGACCCTCTTGAAAGCACTCTGCAGAGTTTTGCCATCTGGCAGTCCACATCATGAAATTTATATAACCAGTTGGTTGGATCCAGAATTTGCCTCGCATGGATAGAAGGGGTCCTTCCACAGGACTTTCAGGGCCTTAGGTGGTTAACCTGACCTGACCCTTAGGTGGTTCTATCTGATCATCACTTTCCTCTGACTCTGTGAAGCATTTGCAGGGGCTAGAAGGGCTGCTGGCAGAGCGGGATCAGGGAGGTCTCTGTTCAGTTGCCCAGTCGCACAAACCCAAATCTGGATCCAACCCCAATATATGTTGAATTCTTAGCTTGTTGTAGTGAAACAACCTGAAAACGGAGAGAGATCCTCAGCTCAGGCCTAGCTTAATCTAGCTCCCTGAGGTTCCTGTATTTTTATGGACAAGACTGGGAATTAGGTGCCATTTCAGCGGAGACCTTGTTGCAGTTTTATCCAGTGTTAGTGTGATTCTACTTGCTGGGCACTGTGGCATGAGCATCAGGTGTGGCATGGCCTTCTACTTGGCCAAGCCTTAGGGCATCTCATGGCACTAGAATAAGCCATATTGTGGAAGTTTACAGGCTACCGGCATAATGTGGGTTTTAGTGCTCCATTTCGATTGGGCCTGCTATTTATTGCTCTGCAGTTTCTGTCCAATGAGCACTTTGTTCTTCAATCCATCAAACTAAATCTGCTTCTGAATAGGAACCTCTGGGAGATATGTGTAAGCGTGCAATTTTGATTAATTTTTCTTAGTTGCCCTGTCTGCCGACAAATACTAAAGATGTGAATTTAGCAAGTCAGAAGGAAAGGCAAGAAATGCAGTCTCTCCCTTGGAAGCTTTTGAAAATAATCTATTGTGGTGGAGGTGTGTAACCCAGGGCAGGCTTTTTGGCATGGCAAAAAGGCTCAGGCATCCTTGTCCCTCTTTTCTCTTGGAACAAAACAAATGCATGGTAGCCTTGGGCAGTGCTTTTCCAGCAAGATTGAATTATTGAGCTGCAGAGAGAGTGAAGGGAAGCCTCTTGTTGGCAAATTGCTTGCTTGCTTTAGTCAGAAGCCAGTAAATAGGCAGCTGTGTGAAGCTAGATTAAAAATTGAACGTTATGAAGTGCTTTTGTATAGATTTTGGTGTAATTTGACCCAGCTCCATTAGATGTTGACTTTATATGAATGTGGAGTAAATCTTTGCATAAGATTGCTACTCTCCTTTGGGGGTTCATTTTTCTTTGGATTACTAACTGTATTTGTCTGCATAAATCTACATGGCTTGGCCTCAGTATGAAGATAACAAATGGAGCTGCAGAAACATTAAAGTGTGGATGCTTTTGCTCTGGATGCCAGCCGGCCATCCCCTCTCGCAGGACACTCTGCTTGGTTTCCACTCCCCCATCATCCATGCGTCTCCCGCACTCGCAGTTAGTCACATTGCATACTGACTGGATGTGTTAGTCCTCTTTGGGCTGTTTTGAGCATCCCCCACATACTGTGTGTGTGTGTGTGTTATACATCTCCAAAAACGTGCTCCTCCAGTCAACTTTTGTATGTGTGCGAACAGTGCTGTTTTGCCTACTTACAGAATTGGGATTGTTGCTAGTGAATGTCACGGTACTGACCTAATGGCTGGTCGGATTACTAAAATAATTTATGTAATGTTTGTAAAGCTTTTAGCTTTTCTATTGTGGCCTTGTTCGGACTTAATGTTAAATTATAGATTAGCTATACATGAATAAATATTGGATTCATCCTCCCTCCTCTTCCCTTCAGTGCAGCCATGAGGGGTAAAGTGGAAACTTTTGCCTCTGTTTCCAGTTTACCACAATTCACAATGATTTAATCTTAAAAAGCCAGTTTCATAGCCAGTCCAGAGAGCTTTGAGAAACCACCAGTGCATATCTATTAACTCCTAAAGCAGCTCCCTCTTCAGGAAAGGATGCTGAATTTCTACGTCCCTTTTTGCCTCTTAAAATGCTATTGGAATAAGTAACATGTACTTTGAGTAAAGAAGTGAAGTGATTAAGTCTTGAATGGTATTGCTAACCAGGATCTGCCCATTTTCTATACTGTTAGCATTGTTAAGCTTCACAGTTTTGCAATCAAATTCAGTCTTGTTCCACGTTTTCGTTAGTTTCTTTCCCAAAACACAGAGCACAAGTCTCCAGCAAAGTGCCCTTAAAACTGTAGCCATATTTCTCGCTCACTGCTGGATGCAGCATGTCTGCTGATGTGACTCATAAAGGCACAGTTTGTAGAATGACATAGCTGACTTTCCAGTCTCAAAAGTACAAACTTGAAATATGGTGAATGTTCTTGGGCTGAAAAATGGTAACCATCTTGATATTTCTGTTTAATTATTAAAATCTGCTGAATGTGACATACATATCCTGCAATTTTTCGGTAAGGTATTCTGGACTCCTCTGTGTTTGCTAAAAAAAAGGCAGTGGGAATTGAATCCTTTTTTGATACTTACTACAAATGCTTTAATTCCTCTCATGCAGTGAATATGTCCAAGTTTGCTCATGGCAAATAAATTTAAAAAATGCAAATACTTCAGTATAAAGCTGTGAGATAGGGCCCAACAATCTGATTTTTTCTAATCAAAGTAGGTAGAAGCTTGATAAACTCCATAATAGGAAACAATCTGAAACATAAGTATATTGTTGACTTTAATACTGGCAAGGTTTCTAGAACTAATTGTATCAAATTATCATTGCTAGCATGATCTTTAGCAGGCCATTCTGTGTGGTCTGAGCAGTCCCTTCTCTCAGGTTCATAAGAGAAACCAATAGCCTTTGGCAGGTAGTTCTCAAAAGGTACTACATAATGCAATCGGATTGTTACCACTTGCCATTGTCTAATGGTTCTCGTGGGTACAATTGTCATGGGTAACTGTTAAAGCAACTCTACCCAACCAAGTCCCCTCCAGATGCAGTTTTGAACTGCCAAGTCCAAGCATTTCTGGCTATTATCCATGCTGTCAGGGGCTGATACTGATGTCCAAAACATCTGGGGGATACCTAGTTTGAGAAAGCTGTGTTGCAGTAGAAAAATTGCATGCAGAAATACTGACATCCAAAGCATTTGTTTTTTCAGGGAATCATAGTGATTTTATTTTTCTTAACAATTTTGCTTGTTCCAAGAGATGGCAAGCCCTCCAGAGAAAAAAATTCACAGTTGTGACTTCAAAAGATCAGAGTTAAAAATGGTATTGTCTTGATGCTTTTATTGATTCATTCTTCCCCATTCCTTTCCGCAGTCACAGATGAAGACACAGTGAAGAGGTATTTTGCCAAGTTTGAAGAGAAATTTTTCCAAACCTGTGAAAAGGAACTTGCCAAAATCAACACATTTTATTCTGGTAAGAGGTTTGACTTCAGGTATATTCTGAGGGACACGGGAGGGAAAGAGATTATTCTTTGTGTCACCTCTGCTGAAGATTTCATACTGGCAAGAGGCATTGCATATTATATGCTGATCTGTAGGCTGATTCTCTTTCTAGGCTGATTCTCTTTCTAGGTTATTCATGAACTAGAACTGGTGGTGTATCCAGGGATTTAGGGAGTGGCCATGTATCCTTAACCAGATTACATAAAGGAGGTTCATGCTTTTCTGATGAGGCTGGAAGATTGCATGCAGATCAGATAATTGGCCACCTGTGTTTGGCAGTTTAGATTACATTATAGTTCCAAATTCTCCTTCATGGATCACTGCCTTGTCATGGCGAAGGGGCTTGCGTAGCTCAATGAAGCTATGAGCTGTGTCATGCAGGGCCACCCAAGACGGACAGGTCATAGCAGAGAGCTTTGACAAAACGTGATCCACTGGAAAAGGAAATGGCAACCCGCTCCAGTATCCTTGCTATGAAAACCCCATGGACAGTACCAAAAGGCAAAAAGATACGATGCCGGAAGATGAGTCCCTCAGGTCGGAAAGTGTCCAATATGCTACTGTTTTTTAATCCTGGCTTGTTTGATCAAATCATACTTTAGCCAGGGTTCACCTAAGCCTCGGTGTAATAGGTTTAATTTGAAAGTGAGAGCTTCTCATTTCAGAGCCATGCTAAAAGGAGAATGGGGAGTATATGACTACCCAAGGATCATGCATGGAATGTTTTGCCATGGTTTAATGTTATGTCTGAAAAGTGTTGTGTTGGATCAGTGGTATGAGTTATATAGCATTAGGCTAATCTGTATAGGGTCACTAGAAAAGATTTTGTTAGTAATGGAAAATCAGTAAGATGAGATCTTCTGAGCATATATGGAATGCTTTCACCTGCCTGCCAAGCAACCACCTTTTGAATAAGACTGGATCAGTGGGTGTGACTTTCAAGTAGACTTAAGCCCATAAACTCTTTGTGCAAATTAAAGCTCTGCATTAAGCTGCCATGTTTAGAAAGCACTTCCGTTCCTGTTAAGGGGAAGGATTTATCACAGTAGGGATGCTCTTTATGGCAAACACCTTGACTGCTAGTTCCTTCTGACACCTGACCTTTTGTTTATATGGACCGTATGTGTTTGCATGGCCAGCCTTGACAGCAATCGGCACGACACTGACAGTTTGTTTGTCAGGTCAGGGCGTGTCTGGGAATGTTGTCGGCAGTAACAGCATCTGGCAAGGGTCCCAGAGGGCATTGCTTTTCTTATGTCTTAGCCGGAGAGGTTTTCCTTCTGGTAGTACAGTGAGCAGGCAACACAGCATGGTAGTGAACAGCAGACATCTAGGGGTGGGACTGTATGTCATGCTAAGCCACCCAGGAAATAAGCCATGCCATGTCTGTTGGTTCACTGTGCTATCTGTGTGGCACCTGAGAGACAATTAGGCTCAGTGGCTTGTGCTTTCCTCCTTCCCCCGGGCGGTAGCCCAGTGTTCTTCATGGGGGAATCTCTCTTGCCTTGCCTTCCGTGCCCCAAACACGTCCTTTTTATATCAGCTTCTTAAAATTAGTTGTGGAGCCTTGAAGAAGTGCCATTTGGGTTCTGTGTGCTTTTCAGCCCCTAAATTTTTTAAAAATTGGTTTTGTTGGTCTTTTGCAGGTGCGTTAGTATGTTCTTATGCTATTCAACAGGTGTATAGTCTTGCCTGGTCAATTTCCCTGTTAATTCCAGCTGTCAAAAGGAATGAAAACAGAATTGCCAGTTGTCAGTTGAACAAGTGGGGGAATGACAACAGACGATGCAGCAATGGGTGGAGACAATATGTCCCCCCTGGCAGGGGATTCTTCTCAGATTTTGGTGCTGAACTGACAATGTCTTGCACCTTTGCAAGGCTTCCCTGAGTCTCCAGCTACTTGTAAAACACCCAGTTGCAATAGTTCGCTTTTCCACCCCTTTTGGAGGGGAGGGAGGGAGGGAGAATGGGAACTGTTTAATGGAAACAATTAAGTTGGAATTACTTAAATGTTGGTACAAAGGGAACAGTATGGGTCAGGTAGAATATAGGAGGAGCTACAGGTAAAACTCTAAGGAAATAATCTACTTGAATATTAGAAATAAATGCTTTAAGAGAGTTCAGTGGAATAATACCAATTTTACAGTATCTTAAAAAAACACAAACAAGATTTCATCCTTGCTACTGTTAATTGTTATGAAGCTGCTAAACTGCATGATGCAGAGGAAAGTGCTTTCTTTACTTACTGAATTGGGTTCTGAGACAATTCAGCTGCTTTATTTCAGAGAAGAAATGTGGTACTGTTGGTTGTTAGCAGTAAGAACTGAGCCAAAGCTACAGAAAGATCAGTTTGGACACAATTAATAATGATATTCTTGGAACTGCACAGATGACTTAAATTGTGCACATGAGAAATACAGAAGAAAGCTTTTTCTTCTAGTTATGCCAGACCATGCCACTCTTATTCATGTTTCTGTAACTTCTGCGCTGGAGTGCGTCAATGGCCTGTATGTGGGTCGGTCCATAAAGAGAAGTCTGATGCTTATACCAGTGCACAGTGCCTCATGTTGCACAAATTTAACTTTTATTTCATACATGGCACAGGTTGCTTCTGAGCCCAGTTTAAGGTGCTGGTTTAAGCCGTAAAGCTTTTCAGAGCCTGGGACTGTTGTATTCGCTGCATGTGAGCCCACCTACCAATTTAGGTCTATTTAGCAAGCTTTATTGTCCATGCCATAGAGCACATTTGGGTGGTGGTGGACAAGAATTACAGTTGTATACTAATTGTCCCATATTTCAGGAACCACCTCCCAGGTAAGCTTGTATTCTGTGATAGCATCACCGTAAGATCTAGAGTTACAAAGAGGAACTGTTTCCAGGTGAACAGCCACATTAGTCTGTTTTAGCAAAAGCAAGAAAGAATCATGTGGTGCCCCTTCTGTTTCTTCATAAAGCATATAAAAGCAGTCACTTGTAGAACATAAAAGCAGGCCTAATTTCCAGGTCAAGACACTTGGTAGAAACTTACACTGAGTTCAAAGAATAGGTAGTGTCTGCTTTCCTAGTCTATGTTAAGCTTGGATTTTTGTAAGTAATGTTGTATGTTCATCAGTATTCCTAACTAAATACCTGAAGTAAACTGGAGTACATATTCATTGGAAATGTTTACTTATTTTCTTCTACAGAGAAGCTCGCAGAAGCACAGCGCAGGTTTGCTACACTACAGAATGAATTGCAGTCAACTTTGGATGCACAGAAAGAAACCAGTGGTCTTACTACGCTGCGGCAGCGTAAAAAGCCTGTCTTCCATCTCTCACATGAGGAGCGTGTTCAGCATAGGAACATCAAAGACCTAAAACTGGCCTTCAGTGAGTTCTACCTCAGCCTCATCCTACTGCAGAACTATCAGGTACCAGTCATATCATTGATTTTTTCCCCCATCCAAGCATATGCTCGTTTGTTTGTGTTCGTTCGTTCATTCATTACATTTCTATACTTCCCAAAGGTGAAACTCTCTGGACAGCTCCCAACAATTAGAGCCATAACATACAGTATAAAAGGTCAAAACTACAATATAAAGTCAAAATAAATACCAAAATAAAACCTAGCAGCAATGCAAAGATTTAAACTACAAGAGGATTTAAACAGCAGAAAGAGTAAAATTCCTGAGAAAATAAGAGCATTTTCACCAGGCACTAAGAAGAGGACAGCATAGGTATGCCTCTTCTTCCCTCTGTGGAAAGCTTGTTCTGCAACTGGGGGCCACAACAGAAGAAAAAGTCCTCTCCTTGGTAGTTGGCCACGTTACTTCCTTTGGTGGGAGCGAGGGATGCGCAAGGAATCTGTCTGGGGGTGGGAGTCCCTGGGCTTGGCTCCCCAGACTCCGGTCTGTTTTGCAGCAGCCCAGATTCCGACTTCCTGGTGGGCCCTCCCAGGATTCGCAGGACATTCACAAGGGTCGAGTCCCACATGCTGTGCAGGCCTCCTCCTCCTCCTGTGCTTGGTGCTGTCACTGTCGGCTTTACCAGGTGAGGAGGAAGGTTGGTCACCAGGAATGGCACCTGGTGCGACCACTCACAGCTCTCCTCTTCTGCGTCCTGCGGCTGCTCTTTGGGTGGCTGCACCCAATGGGGAACATGGATGCTTGCACATCAAAGGGTCCAGGAGTGTTTGTGGACATTCTCTTGGCTGGGCTCACTTTGCAGGACCAGGCCAAGCGCAAGAGGAAGCCTGTGGTTGTGGGCTGCTCACACTAGACGCATTCAAGATGCAGCTTGCCAGCCATCTGCGAGGGATGGTTTAACTTGGAGTCCTCCATTGAGCAAGGAGTTAGGCCCAATGGTCCTGTTGGCTCCTTCCAGCTCTAGTATTCCAAGATACAAGGGAGAAATTAACCTGGGAATACAGCAGTAGTCCTGATGTTGCTATGATTAAAATGAGTCTAAAATGGAAAACTGCATAGCATCTTTTGGAATGTCGGGGCAGGGGGCAAAGAGAATTGTTTGTGTGCCTTCACAAATGAAATAATGCAACACAGACATCAAAAGGCACACTGTAAAACCATTAAGTCCAAGGACTAAAATTACCTAGTTGCACCGCTTCTCCCAGGAAAAGTCCATATTTCTTCCCTATTGGAGACTTTCTGTTGTCCTTGGGAGCACAGCAGCTGTGACACCTGCAGTTACAAACCGCAGGTCTTCTCTTAGGGACGGGCTGGAATTGCTGGCAGATCAAACATAGCCAGCTGCTATGACAGGGAAAAGTTGCTATGAAGAGGGAAGCTAGCCTGTTGGGCGAGGGAGATTGTCACCCAGCATGGCATGTGGCTGGAGGGAAGACACTGAGTCAGGAGGAAATGGGACTGAGGGTCGAACAAGTTCCTCCAAAGCAGAGCGGCAGGCAGGTTTGAGCAGGCTAAGCAGGACTGCCTAGTGGTAATGTTCTATGTCCTCTGCGCCCAACAGAGTGAATGGCTGCTTCACTGGGGCTTTCCTCGCCTCCTTCTCCTTCTCCTTCTCCTTCTCCTTCTCCTTCTCCTTCTCCTTCTCCTACTCCTCAAGACACAGATACTGATATTCTAAATAAAAGCCTCATTGTGGTAATGCAGGCTACAAGCTGGGCTTCAAAGTATCAATTAAGGGTATCACAAAATCCAATAAAAAGAAACAAGCCTTTTATAATTCTGCATAATCAGATCATTAAGGAAATGGGGCTTTGGAAGGAAGTTGCTTCTAGACTCCCTTTCAAACTCTGATAGACTAACTGCTGCCTTCAAGGCAGGTCAGTTGCTTCAGAGCCATCTGCTCACAGCATGTGACCATTCTTAGTTGACCTTCTCATTTCAATTAATGTGTCATCCTGGGATCAGTTATGCCTCTTTGCCCCACAGGTCCTGATTGCCCCCCCTTCCGCCTCCATGCCTGTCTCTGGCTTAATCATCCCTGGCATTTCAGTTGTGCGTCCCTCTACCACACCCTCCTCTGAACCTAAATCTGTTTCCATATCCCTTGAAGGCTCCTTTGCAACAGCAACGCACTGACCAAATCTCTACATACCCCTTCACTCCACAAGTAGGAATAACTTCTCTGCAGCCTCCTTGTAGTCTAGGCGGATTGGGAGGATTCTGTGTCATGTGCTTGAAAGTCCTCTCACCAGGAGCACATTTAAAGCAGGGATGGACACCTTGCGGCTCTGTATGCTTCAGCTTGCAGCTCCCACTGTCCCTCACCATTGGCTGTACTGATAGGAATCGTGGGCCAACAGATCTGGAGGGCCACGCGTTGTCCATCCCAATGTCAGCTCTGAGCTCTGCCTCATGGTAAACGCCCTAATGCTTATCTGTGTCTCGGATCTGTATTCCTAGTTGAGCAGTGGCGCTCAGGTTCTTAGGTGTTCTGTGTATATGATGATACATGATCAGCTCTCCTCAGTTTTCCAGTTTGTGCAGGTGTCTTATCCTACTCAACCCAGAACCTCAATACCCAGGGCCTGGCGCTGGCCAGAAGTGCATTTGCACAGTTGAGGCTGGTGCACCAGCTGCATTCCTGGATACATCTGATCTGGTCACACAGTGACACACGCTTTAGATACATCCCGTGTGGACTACTGTAGCAGGTTCTACTACATTTCCATTGACGTAGCTTCATGCTAGGAGAAAGACAAAAACATAAACTAAGAAGTCCTTTTCCAGGTGCTGAGTGAGGAAGAGTTGAGAAACAGCAGAGAGACCAGCAATGTCTGGCTTTGAACTATGATCCGTGATGCCCCTTGGCACCAGGATGCATATGCAGCCTCCACTCAGAGTCTGTCATGTTGTGTGAACCCAGCAAAAATGGGTTATGTGAAGGTTAAACAGCCCTAAAAGAGAACATGTTACGCAAGGGTTCTTCAGCAGCCCTCATATAACTTACGTGTTTGTGTGAGACAGCAACTCGCCGGTGGGGTCTGCATATTCAAATTGGCCACTGCATATGCCCCACGTGTGTGGCCACCTCACTGCGAGTTGCATAAACCGTCATGGACCACAGTGTCCTGCCGAGAACTGCTGTGCAAATGTAACCCTAACAAGGGGGTGTGCCATGTTGGGGCGCCTTTCCCGAGGGTCTGGGGCACTTACCTGTTGGGAACAGAGGGTGATGAGGAGAATATTTGAATCCAGCTGGTGGAAGCCGGGGTTGCGCTGTGTCCGGAAGGCCAAAGGTTCCCTGCAACTCAAAAGATCACTCCCAACTTGCTCCAAGCCATCCTTTACTATAGGAGAGCCTGTGCTCCCTTCCCAACCTAGCCTTTCGTTCCCTTTTTAAATGTTTCAGATGAATCTGCTGTGTGCTGAGCTGCTGTTCTCTGAAATTGTGTTGCTGAAGTGGAAAAATTCTTACACGAATTCAAGCACACGTGATGTAGTAATATTAGACCTGACAATAGCTTCAGCTTCCTGAGGTGCCTAAAAAGCTGTAATTACTCCCACAGCAAGCAAAATTATTCAACATGGAAAAATTGATGGCCAAAATCATGATGTTGTTTCTTTTTCCATTTCTGCCTTATAAAATAAGGCACCACTGCCTCAAGGGAGGGAAATGCTGGGTTACTTCAAGAGAAAGTAATTAAAGTTTTTCATTGGCAGTAATATAGATAATTAATGCATCAGCTTCCTGTTCCCATCTCCCTGTCCTTTTCCTTCCCTTCCATACTACTGAGCTCCAGTATTAAATCACTCCAGGCATAATTAAATTGAAAATAATTTCAGCAGAGCTCTTGTAACCTCTCCCATAGGCACAGTATTCTGCTATTCTTTGTTTTCTTTCAAATTTGGCTTTCCATTTGTGTGGTTAAGCAAAATAACTTCCTGAATATGTTTGTTACAGATCTTTGTGTATATGGTTTTAAAGGAATGTTTGAAGCAAATCATCCCCTTTTGTACATCACCAAATTCTCTTACATGTATAGTAAAAGCAATATAGCATAAAACCAATCTAGTGCAGACTTTGCCCACCACCAGTTTGTTAATTTTAACCCACATGCTGCAAGAAAACGAGTTGATGAATAAGTAAAGATATACACAGACATTGTACTCAATCTTGGCTTTGCTTTTTCTCATAAGCCCAATCAGAGTATTATGAATTTCCTCAGACTTGAAAATTAATATTTAAAATAATCCTTGAGGGTTGTAATAAAATAAAAAACAGCAGTTTTATGTTTAGTGATGTACTTAACAGCATTACTGGTTACAAAGATATGTCACCTTATGTTTCAGTGTATGATCTCTGGTGCCTCTAACCTGAAAGCATTTTCCAAATAAATGAACCCTAACTAGAGGGTCGCAAAGTCTTGGCAGAGCATAGCAAAGGAGCAAAAGCTACAGCCAGCTTCTGGGTTTTTGAAACACCCTTGTCCTGCAGGACTGCTTTTCCTAGTGGTTTTTCAGCTTTGACCAGGTTAGCATATGTGGGAGAGGTTAATAAGCCATGGCAGTTGATTATAGCACCTATGCATGCTACCCAGTTCCCTGCTTACTGTTGTCCTTGTGTGCAGCCCCAAGACAGATGGGTGGCAGGAGTGGTTACCCATGCCTTGCTTCAGGGGTGCTGGACAGTTTGTCAACCACCCAAAGTTAGGTTTCACACATAATGGCAAGCTGCACCCAGTGAAAGTAATTAGGAACTTGACCTGGCATGTGTGGAGGTGGGTAAGAAGCCATAGTGTTATGCCAGTGTCTCTCCCATAATAGCATTTCACTCTACCTGTTTTGGAGTATGAACTGAAGATGTTTACAATGCATGCCAAAAAGGGTAGTACTTTTGACACAGGTGTTCTGGAAGAGCTATATGATGAAAAATCATCAGCTTAGTAGGAACATACCCTTGATTGTAAATGCTAGTTTTCCTTCCTGCCTGCCATGTACAGTTCCTCAACTCTTAGTGAATGCAGCCACCCCTTGCATATGTGGAATGATGTGTAAAGGCTTCAGGAGGAAAGGGTGCTACTTGCAAGCAAGCTTCAGCCTTGGTTACTCTTGTGGAAAAACATTATGTGCAGGAAGTTGCGTCTGAGCTCCTCCTTGAAGATCACAACTCATGGGGAAAAGCATTTTTCCTGCCCAGAGAGCTTTGGCTATGGGTGGTATAGAAATGATAATACTAATAATATGAATTAATCATTCCTAATCTCTTTTTAGTTTGCCATATTGCCTGGAAAAATCCAATAAAGGATTTTTATTGCTTTCTAATAATTATAGTTAATGGTTACATTACTGTTCTTTTCCTTAAAAGATTCTGGTTGATACTTGAGCATTTGGATGAGTTTAATAAATATTTACAAAGCCATCCTGAAAATATTTTGAAGCTCCTTGGTTCCCAGAAGGATCATGAACCTTGCCACATGCATCATGTCTGATGAAAGTGAATGTCGTAAAAAGACCAAAAGAAAGTGATGCCGTGGTGGCTTCTCTCCCTTTATTTTTAGAATCTAAACTTCACAGGATTCCGTAAGATCCTGAAGAAACATGACAAGATCCTGGAGACGCCCCGAGGTGCAGATTGGAGAGTGGCGCATGTGGAAGTGGCGCCATTCTATACGTGCAAGAAGATCAACCAGCTCATCTCTGAAACAGAGGTAGCGCATGTTAGCCTTCGCACATGGTCTGTCCTCCAGTCTTGACTTGTTGAATGCTTCTGTGTTCTTGAAATGCTGTTTGCCAACTTCTGGCAGCATGCTATTTCTCACTACGATGTATTTGAACAGGCCACTGAATTTCTGGCACTTTTTCACGTGTCTAAGGCTTGACTGCAGTTTCTGTGTTATGGTACTGTTGTAGTAGTTAATATCAGTCGGCTTCAATCAATAGATTTTTCTGTTTTGGTTCTTTAGACAGTGGTGACTAACGAATTGGAAGATGGAGACCGACAGAAAGCCATGAAGCGATTACGTGTCCCACCATTGGGAGCAGCACAGGTGATGGAAGAAATTAGAAGCGCTAACATGTTTTTTATCCCCTAGATATGATAGTGCAGAATTAACACTTGCCGTTGAAAGAGCTGGCATGGACAAAGTCTGATGTCTTTCCTTTCACATTTAAATGTGACTTTAACTACAAAGGACTTGTAAGTGACAGTGTCACGTGTAATGACAAAACAGTGTTGGATCAAGAAAAGGTTGCTTGTGTGTTTAAAACAAAGGACTTCCATCTGCCTCTACAATAGTCTCCAATTCCCAGGAGTTATTTTATTATGTTGCTTATGCCTGTTTGAGCTTGCAGAAGAGTTTGTAGCCCCCCTCCCATCCAGTATAATGAGTAAGAGATGCTTTTACGGAGCTGTCACCTCATTCAATACTTCCCAAGGTGTTGGTAACATGTTCCCTAAGGCCTCATTTCAGTATGTGGTATCCTTGGTCAGCTGCCAGCCCCTGTAAAGGCTGATGGAGCATGCCATCTCAGTGTGCCCACGGCTCCATGCCCCCCCCCGCATTGCTGCTGATACCACTGCCACTCTGGCATCCTGGTGCTGTGGCTGCCGGTTCTGGCAGTCACGCAACTTTACTCGCTGTGTCCATCTAAGTGGACGTACTTTGTGGTGTCACCAGCATTGTAGCTGTGTGCAGCGTGAGTGGCCACTTGGCGTTCGACAGCCAGTGCCTTTTATCCCCCCCAAGGCTGGCCATTGCCTGGAGGAACATAAAGCGTGGTAGGATTGGCTCAGTGCTCGCTTCACTGTAGCTCTGGCGCTGGGTAGGCCTTCTGTGGAAGAGCAGGGCAGCTGGTGTCTGCAGCAGTTCCAGAGGGTGTGTGGTGGGGGCTGGGAGTTGGGTTTCAGTACCACTGTATCTGTGGGCCTGCTCAAGTCTTGCCCATTCAGTCCCTTCTGCCAGTGTTACTGAGGCCAGCAGCTCTTCCCACATCATGTCGCTGTACCATTTCACACAGGAGATCCAGTGTGGGACTTCTCCCAGTCTATTTGTTTTCTCTCAAAAGCAGCATGGTGGCCTGGAGGAGATGCTTCCCCGCTGCCATTTGTCCCACTCAAAAGAAAACAACTACCTGGCTAAACAGGATTTCAGGGGAATTTACACCAGGGGAAACTTACAGAGGGGAAAAAGCATCAAACATTGCCATTTCACTGGGGCAGGCAGATAACTTCTAAGTGATGATAAGCATTGGAGATTCAGTCACAGATTTCACACACGTATAGGAGTAAGCAACCCAAACGAACACCTGACAGGTAGGAAAGAAAGGGCTCCGCTCTGCTCTGCACCAATTAGCTGGTGTGGAAGTGCCCATAGCATCTGTTATGTTTCTGAGCCAGGGGAGCATTTAAACAAATTAAAATGTGTTGCTGGCTCTTCTGCTTTTGCTCAGTTGAAAACACGGACTCCATTAAAAACAGTAAAACCAAGTAGAAAAGGAAAGCAGAGTTCTAAAGAATGTTCCTGCATATTTTTTTGAGAGAGCTTTTGTTTGTGAAAAAGAACGGTCTTTTGTGAAGTTGAACACGCAGTAGTTAGCTTTAACTGACAGAAGATTTTTTTAACAAGCTGTTTTCTGTTCTCTCTGCAGCCTGCACCAGCATGGACTACTTTCAGGGTTGGGTTGTTCTGTGGAATATTCATTGTGCTGAATGTTACCCTCATACTTTCAGGTCAGTCTCTTAACTATAATGCTACCATTGCAAGCTGAGTCTAGGGAAAAAATTGGAATGACCTGTTAATGTGCTGATCGCATTCATTGTGGTGGTCATTTTTTATGTGACAAAGCTACTGTTATAAAGCCAGTAATTGATAGGGGCTTGATAGACAACCAGGTTAGTTCAAGAACTGGAGGATTAAAGTCACAGTTCTATTTTAAAAGGTTTGTATTTTTCAGTCCAACCAAATTGAAACCTAATAGTAGTGGCAGTAATCAGTTCTACCCGTTTTAGCATATAGGCTGGAAGCTGGCTGAGGTTCCTGAAATAGTTTATTTATGGGTTTATTTACTATTGTTAATGGCATCTTTCTAATTTATGAAGCTTTTTCAAATTTTGTGGGTTGCTTTTGGAACTTCCATTTTACTTACAATATTTACATGTAAAGAATATGTAAATAACTGACTCCACAATAAAACTTTCAGAAATGTAGGAAAAGCCATCTTTAGCTTCTGGCAAAACTTTCAGTAATTGAAAAATTCTCTTAGGATGTCTAGAATTACTACAACCCATATCTGGTTTGTACGCATCTGGCTTGGCTGGGGCTGGGTATAGTAAACACTGTGATAAAATTGAGGTCTGCTGGGTCAGTATAATTTGATTTTCTTTCCTTAATTCATAGCAAATTACTTGTCTTATAATACCTCATGCCAGTAAGTGATGTTAAAATATCCCTGATATTGCACATATTTCATGGAAATTGGGCTTTTGTTTTGCATAATTTTATAAGCAGAATTTGTAATGTCTAGGAATAACTCTAAATAATTTGCATAAAGTTGCTAATGCAAGACATAGTGGTTTCTTAAAGTATATAGCAGCTTTAGTGACTTTAAAGAATTACTAATCAATATGCATCTTATAGTGAGGGAAGTTTAGTGTATTCTGTTTAAACAAATATATTTAATTCAATTAAATTACTAGAATACCCCATCTCCTGTAGGTCCCCTTTATATTCTTTAATCAACATTTTTTATTTCCACTTTATATGCTCATGAATGGCCTTTGACATTTTCTTCATTTAGTTTTTCTTACCATGTAGTTTGCATATTTTTGAGCCCTGGTTGTTCTTTGAACCATTTGTATTCGTTTGATATTTAAAAAATGTATGTGTTCAAAAAGAGTAGGGAACTGTAGTGCAAATGAGTTCGCATCTGCACAATCTCCTCAAATACTGAGTAATTTTGTCTTTCCCTTTGACGTGCCCCAACATTTACCAAGCATACGTGAGCATAATTGAAGTACCCACATGACATTTTCTCATTCAGGCACTTCCCTGAATCCCCCCTCCCATTTTAAGATTGTCCACTTGGTAGTTTATTGGGCAGCATTCTCTTAGAACTATTCCAACCGCAGTATCTCCATCACTCTATCCTGGGATTACAGCCTTGATTCTTTCCATTCCGCATAGTTGCTGTTACATCCATTATGTTTTCACTTAGCACCAACCACTCCTCCCTTATAGCAAATGAAAGGTGCCAAAGCCCGCAGAAACCAGGTATGGATAAATAAATTGTATGCATGCAGGTGTGAACCAGCCTGTAGCGGGGTTTCTGGACTTTTATGGACAAATTCCAGCCATTTTGTAACTGTGCCCAGAGTGCCTTAGTGTAAGAGATGTTGAAGTGTTCCCAGTTCTTTTGTACTTGCTACTTTATAATCACCACCACACTTATTATGTTCATACTGAACTTTCTGAATCTTTTCATCCTTTCTATGTCTGGGATAATGCTCATTTCTCTTGTAATAATTTATAATTTATGGTGCTTGGAATTGTAGATCTCAAAACTGAGAAGTGAAGAATCCACTTTTTAAAACTGAGAAGTGAAGAATAGAAAGTGTGTTTGCAGAGGCTCAGGAAAAAGAAACCAAGTCTACAAAATAGACTAGTGGAAGGAATACCTGTGCTAGGCATGGGCCTCTGAGAAGTTCCTGAAAACAAAGCAAGGAAATGTAGGAGTTCTGGATCATTCAATTTTATTGAATAACAGAGTTTAGAGGAATCTGAGCTATAAAAAAGTTAAACACTTGAGAGAATGGACAAGATTTTCATCTTATTTCAGACTCTTTTTTTCTGATACCCACTTATAGCATAACTCTGTGTTTGTTTTACTAATAAATAAGACACACTTAGTTCAGTGAAGCTTGACTCTCCATTACGTTTGTATGGGATTGTAGTGTAAATAATTTAACGGTTTAGCATAATCTAAAATAAATAATTAAATAATCATGGTACTATTTATGTAGAAGTTTGAGAAGCAGGCACTATTAAATTGGCTGTATTAAAAATAATTCCAACAATTCTCATAAGATGAGATAATAAGAAAAGGGAGAGCAACAGAAAGGAAAAGAGAAAAGAAAGCAAAGATTAGAGGCTGAAAAAGCAAGAAAGAGAATCTTTTCTAACACTGTTAAAGAGTTACTTAGGAGGGAAAGCAAAGACTGGGTTCATACAACATGGCTATCCATCATAGTTTGCTACCCACAGTGAGCTGTTGTGTCACATGAACCTAAACCAAACCTTGCAGTGTGTCTTGTTTGAAGGCAACCAGCTTCCTTGACAACCCATGGTTTGTTCTAGTGTTGTTACAGGTCATTAAGTCATTCAAACTCACACAGCCAACCCCATCATGGATACCAGGAATCAGCTACCGACCCACTTGGTGAGAGCAGGGAACCCCCCCCCCCTTGTCGCCTTGCCATGTGGCTGATGCCACCTACCCGAAAAGAACCCAGGCAGCGCTTTTAGCCTGGCACTGGCTGCCCATCCTCCCTGTGACTTTGTTTCTCCTTCAGGTCAGGAAAGCCAGCCATGAAGCTGGCTTTTGCAGTTCCCATCTTGGCAGCTAAGGACAGTCCTTTCAGAGTGTCCCGGTGGCACTTTGGAGAAGCTGCCCATGGTTGCCAAGCATTTTAAAATTTTCTTTCTCTCTGAATTATTGCAAATATTTGCAGATAAATAGCCTGTGTTGGGCAAATGGGGAAATCTCTCACTGCCCCCTGTACTTGTATTTGGCAGCTGTCAAAAGGCAATCTGTCAAATGTGTCCAGAGGTGTTTCCTTACCTTGCAAAAACAAGGTAGCACATTGTTCATCCCCTTTGCATCAAGATGCTTAGGGTTTTGGGGGAGGTTCATGTCCCAAGATTGCACTCATTTTGCACTTGTTCTCAGATTCTACCATTTCAGGAACAGGCAAAAGGGTGCGCCACTCCATTTACTGGAATGTTTTACCATTGAGAGCTCTGTAGTTCAGGTGGGAGTTAGAAATGGTTAGAGATAATTGGCAGAGAAGTATATTGGTTGTAGTGACTGGCCAGCTGCTTTTCACAATTTTATCCTTGCTGATGGGTAACAACACCCCCCCCCCACCCTCCGGTGAGGGACACTGCAATGCCAGACTGAGGACCAAGGGAGAAGGAGGGGAAGAACAAGTCACAGCAAGAACAGTCATCTGTCAGGTGCATTGTGGCTTCTGCAGACAATCCACTTTACATAGTTTATTCATCATCGTGTACACGAGTTCCAGGGAAAAGAGACAACAAGAGCAGGAGGTCAGAAGAATGAAATCAGAGAATAGCCAGAGGCTTAGACAAGAATAGAGTATTGGCAAAGTGAAAGGCAAAGGGAGAGAGAAGGCAAGAGGGAGAAGACGGTTAAGGAAACAGTCATTTAAAACAGATTCATTAATCACGCAGTCTGGTCTGGTTGACTGTCATCCTCTGAACTCAAACATTTATGGGCAGTCCTTGCCGGCCGGAGGAACACAGAGGCAAAGGTGGCTTCTGCTCTCCTGCCCTGCAAAGCATTTCAGCAGCCAGTTTCAGCCTTCTGAGTGTGGTGCTGAGAAGGGAAGGTGGCTGAAGTCGCACTGTGTATCATGGCAGTGCTTATCACCTGGAGTCGCAGTGAGGGAAAGTTACTCCGAGCTGGATGTCCCTGCTCTGACCTCAGAGCCAGTTCCCAAGGCTAGAGCTGGGGCTCTGAAAAATCCTGTAGACATCGAGCTACTGTCTGGTCACCCCAGGATTTGCATAGTCAGTGAGTTGAAATAGACCAGTGGGAAAATGCATTAAAAAGTACACACGATCAGGAAAGTACACAAAAAGATCTATGTGCAGTTTCTCTCTCAAATGCATCCTCTCAGGTTCATAGGTAAGGACAAGGGGCCTGCCACTCCGTGCTTGGTAGCCACCATGTGTATTTTACATACACTTGTGGTTTTTTGAACAACTTGTAAAGTGTGGTCAGATATGCCTCTTGTATACATGCCTAAATGTTTGAGTGTGCAGGTTTGAGGCACGTGTTGCTTGGGAGCATCTGGTTCAAGCCTGTGCCTTCTTCAACCCATTTTGTACTGCTAGTCAGCTGCAGCCATTGGGGTACTTGTGAAGCAGCTCAGTGACCACTGACGTGCTATGGTTTTTAAGAACAATTTTGCAGTAGAATAACTCTGCAGTTGTCACTTATATGTTGTGTGGATGCACAAGATTTTCCTCTCACTTCGCTGCTGTTATTGGCGCATTGCTTTTTATCAGCAATCAATTGCTAATATTCTCACTGGACGATGTTATTTTCTGCCAGCTAGGCCCTTATTTTTTGTGAGTAGTTGTGAATGTGTTTCTGCAACCACTGTGGTGTTCATCAGCAATGCTTGTGATAGCAGTGATGAGTAACCCAAATGCCGTAAAGCTGAAAGTGAGGCTTATGTGAGTGGATCTTGCATTCATTCTGCATATCAGGGGCAGGGGAGGTATGGCCCATCACTGACCTTGGTATAAGTTTTCTCGCCACAGTTGACTGTCCTCTGCCCGGGCTCTGCTTATGTTGAATCAGTCTTGCATGAACCTAGCTTCTGAAACTCAAGAGGAATATCTGGTGGCAAGACTGCTTGGGAATCCTCATGCTCAATACAGATTATAGTCTCTCAACCAAAATCTACCAGTTTGAGCAGATCGGTTTTCAATTCCTCCACAGCTTTCAGTCTTTTACATACTTTTAACAGCTTGCTTATTTCATATCTTCCCCCCCCCCTTTTTATATGCTTCACCCCTTCTTTCCTTGTATCACAAATATGAATGCGGTATCTCCAGATTTTACAGTGAGAGAGTTGCGTAAGCTGTGCAACAGGCTGGCATTAAATTTGTGTGGGTGTTTCCATTTAATATAATCTATCCCTTAACCTGCATTTCCCAGGCTCAGAATTTTGGACACTAAGCCACTCAAAATTAGGGCAGTGGGTGCTGGGCTCATATTCAAGGTTTTTCTGAGATTTTGTGTTTTGCACGCTGGAGTATGCCCCCTATTCTGAACGAGCAGGAATTGGAGCGTTTCCAACAAATGGTCCGTTGTGCATAACTTTGATCTCTCTCTCCTTCCTGACAGGTGTGTTTAATATGCGAGGATTGAACGTGTGGCCACTCATCAGGATCTATCGTGGTGGCTTTCTCCTGATAGAATTCCTCTTTCTCCTTGGCATTAACACGTACGGCTGGAGGCAAGCTGGAGTGAATCATGTCCTCATCTTTGAACTCAACCCACGCAGTAATTTGTCCCATCAGCATCTCTTTGAGGTAAGTACCACAATTCAGGACAAGGCTGAAAGTTCCTGCTTGGTGCCATAAAGCATCCAGTTTCCTTAGGTGTCTGTAGCCTAGGGAAGGGTGTTGCTGAAGGGTGGGTGGCTTTGGCCAGGTCTGCCTTCTCCGGACAGTGGAATTTTCAGTTGGAATTCTTATTGTGAATGTCAACCACCAGTGGCATTTCACAGGCTTCTTTTAAAATTCCCACTGGTTTCAAGATGGTACCCACAAGGCAAAGGGCTACTGTTTGAGAAACGTAAGCACAGTGTTCTTAGTTCTGGTGTTCTTTGGTTCCCAGGCTCTCTGACAAAGCCCAAATAATATTGCAGTATTTAATATAGCATTGTTAGTTTCAGCTTGCATGTGTTCCCTTATTTTCCCAACTGGCAAAAATGGAGATACACCTGGGCATCTTAAGGTACAACTGCTTGCTTCATTCTAACATAATATCTATTGGAATTGCAATTTGGAAAAAAAAACCACTTTCATTTTATACAAAATGGTATAATTTATGTGCTTTCTAAGCTATACAAAATGCACTTCATGTATTTAAATTAGCCGGTAGCTTAAGGTTTGCTAGGGTAATTTTCATGTATAAAAACACGTTTTCTCACCAATAAAGAATATTCTTCTATGGCTTAAGAATATTTGCAAATCTGACATCTGGAGTACAAAACAGTGGAGATGCTGGCATCCTGTGTTTTAACTGATTGCTCGCTGCTCTCTGCTTTGTTAGATTGCTGGATTCCTTGGGACGCTGTGGTGCCTGAGTCTGCTGGCGTGTATCTATGGCCGAAGCACCGGTGTTCCTATGCAGGCAAACCCACTCATCCTGTATGGATTTATGTTGCTATTTCTCATCAACCCTACAAAAACCTTATACTACAAATCTCGTTTTTGGCTGCTCAAACTCTTGGTAAGTTGGGACTTACTCAGAACTGATGAACAACTGCACTGTCTTTTAGGGGGGAAAGGACTGCAGTCAGTAAAGAGTATTTGTCATGTAGGTTATGGTGAGCTACTTGCCCTGTTTATCAACAGGCAACTTGCAGGAAATACTGGCTGAACATGTTAATGGTGCATCTATGTTAACGAGCAAGATTTATGTTGACAGGATGCACTTGAAATATTAGTCGTGGGGACTGGCAACATAAATGTTCACTATTTCATTAAGCTCGTTTAGAATATGACAGTTCTGTCATTATGGGCATAAGCATAATTCTAGCACCAGCCAATTGATGCTGATGCTTCATATTAAAATTATTTTCCATGCATGATGAATACTTCTGTTTTCCCTATAAATTCTTCAGTGAAAAATGAATATTTTAACACTCTCATAATAGTTTGAGCATGAGTTCCTGCTTTTATAGACCTATATACCCTTGGCCGTTAAGGAATTGCACTGAATGCAATCTTTTTGGGGTCTCAAAAATGTAACCATTCCGGTCTGGTTTTGCAGGTGATGTCTGAAGCAATAGGATTGTATGCTAGCAGCATAACAGCATTTGGGCACCATTAACTCCTCTTGGCTTATGTGTGCGTGTTGCATGTATTCTGCAGCCACTGGCCCCTTAAAGCAGAAGTTAGTTGCCTCAGCTGCCACGGGTGTATTTTCTGGAGAGCCCTTTATACCCTGAACTTTGTCCCATTCTCTAGGCAAGGGTAGTCAACCTGCCTGCCTAAACCTTGTGTGGTGCCTGACATCTCTTGGGTGTGAGGAACAAGAAAGTTGCTTCTGACTCTCTGAGCTAGGAAAGTTTTAGAATCAGTGGATCAGAGATGAGTATCTTGTGGCACT